TTCAGGATATCACTCACATCACATACATGAGTTTCCATTCCATGAGTTGTCTTTTCTGTTGATTCTGTTAAATTTGTCCTTTAAATGCAGTTTTTAATATTGATATAGTCCAATTTATCTACTATCCTATACTTTTGGCATCATATTCAAATAAATCATTGACAAATACAATGTCATGAAGATTTTCTCTCATGTTTTCTTCTATGAGTTTTATATTTGATGTCTCTTATTTGAACCTTTGATCCATCTTGAGTTAGTTTTCACATATGGTATGAAATAAGGATTTAACTTCACTCTTGTGCATATGGATATCCAGTTTTCCCAACATTTATTGAAAAGACTGTATTTTTCTCCATTTAATGGTTTTAATGCTAAGATGACAATCATTTGAACATATATGCAAAGGCTTATTTATTGACTTCTATTCTATTACAGTGTTCTATACATTCATCTTATGCCAATACCATATTGTTTCAATTACTAGAGCTTTGTAATGAGTTTTAAAATCAGGAGCCATGAGATCCCAATTTTGTTCTACCTTTTCAAGGAAGTTTTGACTATTTGTGATCTCTTAAGAGTTCATATAAATTTTAATATTCTATTGATTCTACTAAAAAAAAAACTTGTATGTTTGAAGTTGGAGCCCTGGGATTACTGAAACCAAAGTTCAGCCATTCTTTAAAGATTTTTAACTTCTTGTTGACTCCATATATTAGAACTAGTCCATATATTAGAACTGTTTTAAATTCAAATAAATTGTGAAGATAGTACAGGCAGTTCTGTTACACCTGCACCAAGGTACCCATTGTTGTTAACATCCTGACTCACTGTGGTATGTTTGTCATGATTAATGAACCAATATTGATACATGATTTTAATCTTAGTAAATATTTTACTCATATTTTCCTAGTGTCACCTCATGTCCTTTTTCTGTCCAGGACAACTGCATTACATTTAGTTGTTTTGTCTCCTTAGGCTCCTTGAGACATCATGGTTTTTTAGATCATTTTTGTCTTTCATGACCTAAACAGTTTTGAAAAATATTGATCAAATAGTTTGTGTTCATCTAACAGCTTCCTCATGGTTGTATTGGCGATAAGTATTCTTGGGAAGAAGACTAAATGAACAAAACCATTTTCTTCCAACCATATGAAGGGAACTATTGACATAGCTTATTATATAATCTATCACTCAGTCTTGGTCATCCGGCTGAGAGAATTTGTCAGGTTTTTCTACTACGGTAGAGACCCCCTCCACACTTTTCACACTATGCTTTTTGGATGTCACTGTGCACAGCCCATGCTTAAGGGCTCAAGTTACATTTGGTTAAATATGGGGGTGTATCTACATAAATTAGTTGAAATTTTTCTACATACAGATTTGTCCACTCTCCCCTCATTTCTTTCTTTTTGTTGTTTCTCAATTACTTATTTTTATCATTTAAACTCACAGGTATTTATTGAATTCATATATTTAGGTTGTTGTTCAACTTTTTTTACTTTTAGGCCATTGGGAGATCTCTCCATTTGTTTCCCTGTCCCTTTGATATATCTCCATCATGTTTTCAGACTCATCATTTTAATTTGCTGCTCCATTCCTAGCAGCAACTATTTCTCCAAGAACCTCTGATTTTTTCTTTTGGAGAATGATATTAAAAACCAAGGTGTGAAAAAAAAAATAAAGAAACCAAGGTCTGAGGGTTAAGGGTGCTCATTACTCTTAATAGCACTATACCTAGACCCTCATTTGACATGCAAGGAGATAAACATTTGTATAACATATAAATGTACATATTTATAAATTTTTCTATATACATCCATCTGCGTCTATACCAAATTGATATAAGCTCATACTGATGTCTCCAATAGAAGTGATTTGTTCATTCCATCTACATTATTAAATTTGTGAGCATGGAGTCACTTGTAGTACTCCCTTATTACCCTCTTAAGGAAATTGGAATCAGCAATCAACCATCTTTTTATTTCTCATACTGTTACTTTATGTTCTCTCACTCTCACTCTCCTCTTTTTCTTAATTAGCCTGGCTAGAGGTTTATCATTTTTAAAAATCTTTCCAAAGAACAAGCTTTTGACTTGTTTTGTTTGATCTCAGCTTTTCTGTTCTTGATCCAGTTAATTGATTTCTTCTCTAAGTTTGGCTTATGTTTTATTCTGCCTGTTTTAGGCTTACAATGCTCATTTTCTTATTTCCCAAAGTGGGTGCATGAGAATTTCAACTTTTCTACATCCTTCCTAACAGTTGTTATTTTCTGTTTTATTGTTTTATTTTTGACAATAGCCATCCTAATGGATATGAAATGATAGCTCATTGCAGTTTTTTGTTTTCTTGGTTGGTGTTTGTTTGTTTGTTTGTTTTTAACTAAGGAGCCCAGTTTTGCTTTCTTGTCCTAGGTAGATATCTTCCAGTACCATACCTTGAGAGAAGAAATCTTTGTCTCTGATTACAGGTGTAAAGTACTTGCTCTTCTACCTTAACTGTGTTAACTATGTTTTTTTCATAAAAACCTTTGATTTAGTTGAAGACATCTTCTGTTCTTTCTAGTTTATTGAGTGTTTTGTTGTGAAAAAATAATATCCTTTTCCAGATGCTTTTTCTGCATCTGCTGATAAAGAGTTTGTAACCACAACTCCTCTTGTAACAGTATCTTTGTTATACGTGAGACATGACTAATGATTTTATTATATATCAAGCCTGTAAAATTACCAACAATATCCTAACTGCAAAAAAAGATAAGCATGTCTTCCACCTTGACAGGTCAGATTTGTTAATACAAAATTATGCTATTTAAATTACTGTGCCTTCTACTTAGTTTTTAGCCTATTTTCAAATTACTTTATATTCCTATTTAAAAATCAAAAAAGAAAAATGAACCAAAATGTGAATTATTCAAAACAAGACTGTTACAGGAGATCTTTGGTAAATTTTTAAAAATATTTTTAGCTCTCTCTCTTGAGATTCCCTGTCTGTTCACTCATTTCCTTTAAGTCCTTGAAAATATTCACAAGATTTTTTAATCTAGTCTGCTAATTCCAATATCTGTATTTTTGTAAGGTCTTTTTTCCTGATTTCATTTCTAAACAAATAAATAAGCATATTCTAGAAAAGAGCATCCACCCCATTTTTAGGACTAGATAATATATCTAAAAGCCAGAATTCTCTACTGTTAAAATTTTGGTGAATAAAAAGTGTGGTTGATTGAGAGAAATGTGATAATGGGTAGGTAGATAGTAGAAATTTCACTGAATATATTTTAACATGAGTTTGTGTTGATAAATTTGCATTAATGTTATCATCTCTTGTGGAGGCATGGTATTTCAATATATTTCGATATATGAATGTTATCACATTTGATTCAAACAATCTTGGTTGTTCCACTTTTATACTTTTATTACTGACAATTCTCTGAAGCTTGTTTCTTCACTTCTATTTATTTATTTATTTATTTATTTTTCTTGCCTCATTCAAGTTGCCCATTAAGGCAACTCCTGTTTAGCAGAATGCAAGTCTCCAGAGAAGTAAATAACTATGAGTTACCATAAACCAACACTTAATGGAGTTGGGTATACTAATCAAGAGAAAGACACTAAAGAGTAGACACTAAAATCAAATCAAAACCATCCACTACGTTGATTCAGAATTGTTGCTTTGTTTTGTTTTGTTCTATTTGCAGTACTGAGAATTGAACCCAGTGATGCTTAACCACTGAGGTACATTCCGAACACTTCTAGTTTTTATTTTGAGAAAGGGTCTCAAAAGTTACTGAGGCTGGCCAAGAACTTGCAATCTTCCTGCATCTGTCTTCCAGGTTACTGGAAGTTACTGGGATTATAGGCATGTGCTCCATGCCCAGCTGATTCAGAAGTAGTTTTAAAGTTTGAAACACAAAGTGAAATAATGTGTTTCCCCTCTTCCTCTCCCTTTCCCTTTTCTCCCCCCTCTCCCTCTCTCTGGCTCCCTACACATTCTCTCTCCTCCCCTACCTCTTCTACCCCACTAGACTGACCTCTCCCATCCCCATGATTCAAAGGGTAAGAGGGCCCACATACATCAGGAGTCCATGCCTTAAACTCAAAATATTATGTTACATTGGCTTTTGCAATCTGCTTGCCTATTTTGAAAAAGTTGTCTTCTGTCTTTTTTTATTCTGACCCTGTAAAATTCAAATTGAGAATTCTTTAGAAAAGATGCATTCTCCAGCACAGATCAAAACAAAGGGTAAACATCACTTCTCAAGTAGAGAGGCAGTTCACTTAAGAACTTCATGTGGCATAATAGAGAAAAGGCTCATGGGAATCCAGGATCAAGGACTACAGTGGGCCTCCTAAAGAGAGAAATGCTAGGGTTATTTTGTATCCAAAGCTGTTCCATCTTGCCCACAGCTGTGCTTCTGCCCACATAAGTGTTGCTTGGTTTCTATTTGCTTTGCTCAATGTTTGCCTGCTTCTCTTCCTTCCATTATCTTTCTGCTATTTAACATCTTCAGCTTAGCTTACTCATGACTTCATCTTAAACAGGGTGCTTTGTTACCCAAACACTTCTCCATGCTATCTCTCTGCATTCTATCATCTTTACCTACTGTTGAAGGCCATTTGTATGTTTTCCTTATTCCCATAAGAAGAAACTGAGTAGTGATCTTTGAACAAGGCCTCCATTCCCAGTCCAATCACCTAATTCAATAATGTCCCCAGGGTTACCTGGCCAGCAAAGGCCATGATAATCCAAGCCAATTCCACTCACATCAAATTATCTCTCAAATCTCAGTTTCCATAGACTGATGTCCCCCTAAAATTTTCCTTGATGCCTTATCCCTATGTCTGTACATTTTTTTGTTTGCTTGTTTTTTGGCCTGAAATCATCCCAAAAGCTCTATCAGAGTAAGATTTGACTCATGTTGCCAGCGAACCTTGGGAAGCTGGGGTTAGCTCTCTTGTACCTGCAGAACCCATGGTCAAAATGACTGTGTCAGGAAGTTGTGAGGCTAATTCAAAGAGAGTTCCAACCCAGAGGAGTGGGTGTAGATGAGGATAGAGTATGATCTCAGAATTCTCAGGACAGTCTTGGAATAATTTTGGTTCATGAATTTGCATTTTCAAATAGGAGATAATAAATAAACAAGTCTGAACCTATTCACAGCAGCAGCAGCATGAAAAAAGTAAAACTCCCTGCCTGCAGTGGTACAGCTGGCTTTCTCACTCCCTATTGACCAGGAGAGGAGAACAAAATACAAGCTTTGGGGAAGAGGTAAAATAGGTAGTGAGTTAAAGAAAGATCTCAAGTCCAGGAATGATGTAGAACTAGAGTCCCTCAGGGAGGTTGCAATAGTTACTGTGTTGGCAACAGATAAGCTCTGTCCTCTTATTAAAATTCATGAAGTTGATGTCCTCACAGAAGGTCATACAGGACAATCTTGAATAATGATACATACTCTTCCCTGAGGAGGTGAAAGAGGGGAAATACAACTGAAAATACAACTGAAATGACCCCTTTTTATCTAGATCCTCACTAACCTTCTCCAGGCCCAAATGAGTTACGAGACTAGGTCTGCTAATTACTGACTTAGAGAATGGATTCTATTCCCTAACTGGTCAGGGATATCAGCCTCCCCTTCACCCAATTTTGTCTTAGGAAAAAGTTCATCATTTCCATCCCTCTACATGAGCACCCATCCTTATCCACCCCAGTCACCTACTCATTGTGAAAGCCAAAGAGCACCACTGCTTCTAAGAGAAGAGTTAGTCATTTTCCTGCCCCTTTATACCCACATTACCATTTTTCATGAGTACATAAAAGTTCTCGGTAGCACAGAATTGCCTATGCTTCAGGTTGCAGGACTTCATGCTTCCATAGCAGAATCCAAGATGATATGTTTTACATTTATAGCATACTGTTGCAGTATCTGCCAGATACAGAAAGAGGTGCTTAGATGACCCAGTCTGGAGAAGTTTCTCTGGGCTTGAGATCTTCTTTGCAGGGACTCGCTATTGCCTAGGGCTTCCTAACTTTACTGGGTTAGGACTCCTTTGATAATCTTATGAGACATAACCTTTACAGACACAAACCAAATGTTTTATAACATTTCAGGAGTTGGGGGTTCCAGAAAAATTTATCCAAGGACCTCAAGTAATAAACTCTTTATCTAGACTGATGATTTTATTCAGTGATGGGTAAAAGGAAGAAAAGAAGGGTATTTAAGCCTCCTTTACTCCAAGAAATGGACAAAATATGATTGGGAAAAGATAAAACTCCAAAGATTCTATAGCAAGAGTGGATTTTTGCCCTCTCTGAAGATGGAAGGGAGGTTTATACCTAAACGTGTCACAAATGACCTGTCTGCCGGGATTTTAAACCAGATGTGGACTTACCTTTTACAGAGTTTTGAAACTCAGCTGTAAAGAGAAGGAAAAAAAGAATCTTTCGTCATAATATCACAGACATCTATCAAAGCCCCACGAGCCAATTTTGGAGACTTCCCCTTCCCCAGGGTCTGTCCCTCTCTTAACCAACCACAAGCTACCATGTTAATCTTCAAGACTTACCCCAATAGGGGCAGAACAGGAAGGCTGTGCCCAGAAGAAACAGAAGAAACATTCTGGAACTTCTGTCATGTGCAGCTTCCTATGGAAGGTGCTGATTGTTCTCTCCTTTGATCTGTTCTTGGGCTGTTCATCTTAATGATAAAATCATAAAATTTCAGGGCCACATGGTACTTTCATGTTCCCAAAACCAAGACACTAAATATGGTTCCCTCATAGTAGTTCAAAGGATTTTCACTCTGATTTTGCACAAATCCTCCCATTAAAATAAAACTGTGTTCTTCCTGAGTCTCAAACAATCTTCCTGATGGCTCCTACTTCAGAGTTGTAGGTCTTAATAAGGGAGGTGTTCTTTAGAGCTTCCTATGCCCCATCCTTGTAAGGTATTTGATAGCAAATCTCATCCATTCTCCTCACCTGGGTTCATTTTTTTCCATCTCCATTGCCATTATTATAATCTAATCCATTACTATTTCTTGCCTGGAACAAGAAATAGTCATATTTTTTTCTCCTTGCTTTCTATTCTTGCCCTCTTACAATTATTTCTCCACAAAGCACCCAGAGAACCCTTTATATATCATAGATGCCACACCCCTTCTCAAAGTCCTCCAATAGTTTCTCTTCATATTTATAAGAAAATTCAAAGCTCTAATAGCAAAAAAAAAAAAAAAATCCTTCCCCAATCTGAGCAATGGTCACCTCTTTAATGTCTTTTCCTACCTTATTCCCCTTGCTCACTCAGATCCCTGCTCAAATGTCACCCTCTCAAATAGAGCAGCATTTCCTCTATTCTCTACTCTTTTCCCTATTTTGTTTTTACAGCAATTCTCACTACCTCACTTCGTGTGTCTAACTGTTCACTTATTGACACCTCTACTAGAACAAAGCAAGTGCTTTGCTTTATTTACATGGCACACCCAGAAGCTAGATGCTTGGAACACACAAAATAGCCAATAAAGATTTGTAAGGTTGGGCTGAGGCTGGGGCTCAGTGGTAGAGCAGTTGCCTCGCATGTGTGAAGCACTGGGTTTGATTCTCAGCACCACATACAAATAAATGAATAAAATAAAGGTCTGTCAACAATTAAAAAAATATTTTTAAAAAATATTTGTAAGGTAAATTAATCATAGTCTTCCCACATCCACTCCTGATTTGGATAATGTACATTAAAATTAAACTCAGATACTATTTTTACTTAAGTCTCAATAATCTAAATTTGATAATACCACAGTGTTGGCAAGATTGAAATAAAACAAGCACTGTCATAAATTGTTGGTGAGGGTATAAGTTAATACATCAGTAAGCAGGAAAATGAGACAACAGTTCTCAAAATTACAAAGATAGGGTGATCTCAACCCAGTTGTTATATGGACTTGAGACTTGCACATTTGGCAGTTTCTAGTATTTTTAAGGTAAATAATAGATAAATGACTAATTCCTTAGGAGTCCTTCATATTTACAATTAAAATGTAAGACTACAAAGTTTTTACTCAATTTTATATTACAACTTTAATCTCCTTTGTTTTATATTGATTTTCAAGGACATAGAATCAGAATAAAATAAAATTAGAATGATATGTATCTACATGTCATATAACAATTATAACAAACAATTTTAGGTATATAAATTACCATATAACATATATAGAATAATATAAAATTAGAAAAAAATAGAATAGCTGAAAATAGCTTGATCCCACATTAAACACCTCAGTCTCAGCATAACAATATTAAGATCATCACCAATTATGGTTCTAAAATAGTTTCAAATTTTTGTTTATGCTCATCAGTGTATCATTTTTATGACTATTATTCTACCCCATCCAATCATATAGCTATTGAACACTTTGCCTTTTCATCTTTATTGAGTCTCTGTTTTTCTAAGTTTATATTTAAAATTCATCAACAGCCCAAAAGTTGAGATCTCTGTAGTATTTTGATCAGAAGCAGTTTCCCCCTAATAGATTCTTTAGGAAGGGCCCATGGGAATAAAATTTTCAAATGTAGTATGCCAAAACACTTTTTGTTCTTTACACTTGAACCTGAATTCTGCCAAATACAAAATCCTTGGTTTGTATTTTCTTCTTTATGTATCATAAATACATTTCTCCACTTATAAGGGTCTAATGATTAACCAAATTCCTATCTGTCACAAGCTGTTTGATCTCTTGGATTAAAAGTTCAAAGGACTTTTTGCTTTGAAGTTGAGTAACTTTATAGTATGTCTTGGTTTACTTCATTCTAAGTAAAAACAAAAATGTCCTCAGGTAGACAACGTGCTCTTTCAATGTGAAGTTTCAATTCTTTTAAAATAATAATAATAGAAAGTTTCTTGTTATAATTTCTAATTAGTATTTGCTCTGGGGTATTTTTTTCCTTGCTTTTTTCCCAGGAAGATCGTTATTTGTGTATTGCACTTTTTTAGTAAAAAGTCATTTTTTGGAGATCCAACATGGTGGCGGGCGCAGAGAGAGATCAAGTCTCTGACCTCTTCAGCTGCGCGGGCTTAGGGAGTCATAAACCGTCTAAATGCTGTTTGCTCAGGATCACTGGGCAATGCTGAGCTGACGTGGATCTGGGGCGAACAGTCTGGGCCTCTCAGAACACACACCGAGCCCAGATCAGCTGAATTCAAGCTCCCATTCACCTGCTTCTCGCAGACAAACTGCTGTGACTCAACACTAAACGATCCCGCTGAAACAACTTGTCGGCCCTTCTGAATCTACGGAGGTTAATGCCAACCGAGCCTTCATAGGCAGTGGCCACAGGATTGAAACGGGGCTTGGGAGAGCCAGTCATGACCCACCCGTTGCATTGGTCACCCGGCAAAGGGAACAAACTGTCGCCATTTGCATGGGATACCACCATGGCAGAGAACTGACGTCACCAGAATGCGGCGGAGGAGATAACTCCATTGAAACCAGCGGCGACAGGTGTGTAACCCCCTAGCCTTCCCTCTCCACACAGTGGGGAAAACTTAAGGGCCCCTCCCAGTTCTCCCGTGAGCGCCATAGACAGACCGAGGGAATCAGGAGTGGTGCGGGACCCGCGGCGCGGAACTCCCGGCTACCGCTCCCACCAGTGCTGACAACTGAGGTCTCCTGCACCAGCTACCAGGGGCGTGGCTACCGGAGGGCAAGCAAAATTCGCTGAGGGTTCTCAGCCCTAAGCTCTACAAACTTAGGGTCTGAGGGAATGGCAAACAGGGAGAGTGTGCCCAGTCGTTCATGAAAATAGGGCTCCCAGGAGCAGCAGACCTGGCGTGTAGCCAGTATTGTGGTGAGCGTCATCTGTGAGAGGGTCTGGCTTGAGGAAAAGTGGGGAAGTGACTAGACACAAGAGAAGTCCCTAGGCACTCAGGATTGGAGACCCGCCCAGTCTGGGAGGAGGAGCTGCTGCACAGTGATTGGTTCCCGCATATTGAGAGGAGAAGCGTGGCCCGGTGGGAACAGCTCCACCTACTGGAAGAGAAGTTAATCAAACTCTAAGACTGCATTTTTAAATTTTTTTTTTAATTTGGGTTTTTTTTTCATTTTCTTTCTTTTGTTGTTGTTGTTTTTTAAATTTATTTAAAATTTTTAATTATTTTTTTAATTTTAATTTTTTTCTTTTTTTATTTTCTATTTTTTTTCTTTTGTCTTTACGTTTCTTTTCAATTTCCTTATTCCCCCTTCCTTGAATTCTACCTGCTTACTCTCATTCTCTTTAGTGACTTCTTCCCTTCCATTCTAATACCTTTCCTCCCAAGGATCAAATACATTTATAGGAGTAAACAGTAACTCAGCAGTCAAACAGAACAAGAAGTAACATGAGCAGCATGAAAAAGCAAGGAAGAAAAGGAGTACAAACAATGCAGGACAGCCTAAATATTCAGGAGGACCTAGAGGCATCAGAAAAATGGTCAAATAAAGAACTCAAGGATTACCATAGACAGATGGAATGGAACCTTAAAGAGGATATGAGACAGCAAATTCAAACAGTGAAAGAATAATTAAAAATGAATTACATAAACAGATAAAAGAAGAAATTAAGCATCTTTATCAGGAGATAGAGATTATTAAAAAAAAATCAAACAATAATTCTAGAAATGAAGGAAACTATAAACCAAATTAAAAACTCAAATGAGAGTATCACTAACAGAGTGGAGCAAGTAAAAGCCAGAACGTCAGATAATGAAGACAAAATATATCATCTTGAAAAGAGTCTAGCCAACTCAGAAAGGCTGGTAAAAAATCACGAGAAAAACATCCAAGAGATACGGGATAACATAAAAAAACCAAACTTAAGAGTCATCGGGATAGAGGAAGGTATAGAGGTTCAAACCAAGGGAATGAGCAACCTGCTGAATGAGATAATTACAGAAAACTTTCCAGAAATAAAAAAGGAAATGGATGTACAAATTTTAGATGCATACAGGACACCGAGCATACAAAATCACAGTAGACCAACGGCAAGACACATTGTTATGAAGATAGCCAATATGCAGAACAAAGAGAAAATATTAAAAGCTACAAGAGAAAGGAGGCAGATTACATTTAGGGGTAAACCAATAAGGTTAACGGTGGATTTTTCATCACAAATGCTGAAAGCGAGAAGATCCTGGAACAACGTATTTCAAACACTGAAAGACAATGGATGCCAACCAAGAATTTTGTATCCAGCAAAATTAAGCTTCAGGTATGACAACGAAATAAAAATCTTTCATGATAAACAAAAGTTAAAAGAATTTGCAGCCAGAAAACCAGCATTGCAAAGCATCTTGAGCAAAACACTACACGAGGAAGAAATGAAAAACAATAACCAAAACCATCAGTGGTAAGTGCCTCAGTAAAGACAGAGGGCGGGGGGAAAGCTAATCATGGAGAAACAAACTAAATTTAAAAAAAAAAGATAAATACTCAAACATGGCTGGAAGTACAAACCATCTATCAATAGTAACTCTAAACATTGATGGCCTAAATTCTCCAATAAAGTGACATAGGCTGGTAACATGGATTAAAAAAACAAATCCAACAATATGCTGCCTCCAGGAGACACATCTGATTGGAAAAGACA